CTCATGCCGAACACTGTCCACCAGAAAGGAGGCTGCTAACAGTGAGCTGTGTCCTCGTCCACCTTTTTAACCGGAACTGGTTTGACATGACTTTCGGCTCTTCCCCAAAGACAAAATGACTATGCAAAGTAGATGTTTGCACTTGATTCACAACACGGAGGCAGCTGTGACAGCACACCTAAGATGTTCACCAAAGGTCATTTCTGGAATTGCTGCAGAAAGCGGCAGTATGATGGGATAAGTTTTCCAAACAACATTATTTAGGTAAGATTAGTGGCAAAGTGTCATTTAGAGTAGTAATTTACAATTACTCACTGTATTTTTTAGTCACATCTCATACACCAAGAGTATGATCCACCAACAGCATGATGAATTAAACTTCATCAAAGTTAAAAACATCGGTGCTTCAAAAGATGCCACACAATAAAAATAACCTGCAAGAGAAATTACTTACAAGCTATTTATCTAAAAAGGAACTTGGGGCCAGCAAGATAGCTCAGCATACTAAGCACCTGCTTAGGCAAGCGCAGGGATAGGGGTTTGATCCCAGCACCACATGCACATGCTGAGCCAGCAACTGAGACCAGGTGTGGTAGCGCACACCTGTAATCCCAGCAATGGGAGGCTGAAAACAGGAGGATCACTACGAGTTCAAGCTGTGTAGCAAGACCCTGTACCAAATACATTAAAAAAAAAAAAGAAAGAAAAGAAACTTGGGCACAGTATATAAACAACTCTTACTATTTAGTAAGACAACCCAATTCAAAAACAGGTAAAAGGTTGGAATAAACATATCTCCGAGGAGGATAGACAAATGCTCAATAAACATAAAACAGTGCTTAACAGTCTCCAGGAAAATACAATGCCATACCCACTAGAATGACTAAAATCAGACATAAGAACAAATATTGGCAAGGATGCAAACCGGACCCCTTGTACAGTGCTGTTTTGGAAAACAATGTGGCAGATCCTTAAATGACCAAATGTACACTACCTAAAAGCTGTATTCCTTGGTTAAAAAAAATACATAGGCACATGAAAACTTGTCTACAAATATTTATAGCAGCACAACCAGAAATTAGTAACAGCCCAAACATCCATTAATTTACAACTGGACTAGTAAGTGGAACAGCCACAGAACAAAATATTACAGAAAAATGAAATACTGCTACATGCTGGAATATGGATGAATCTCTAAAACATTAAGTCATAGAGTCCACTAAGTGAAGACCACATGTTGCACAATTACATGTACCTGAAATGTTGAGGACTGGGAAATCTAATAGCAAGTGAATGCTTGGCTGGAGGCAGGGGGTGAGAAAAGATGCTACCTACAAGGTACAGGTTTCTATTTTAGATGATGAAAATATTCTAAAATTGACTACACTAGTGGTTGAATATACTGTACATGTAGAAGCACACATTTTAAATGAGAAATGCAACATGTATGAATTATGTTCCAATACAACTATGCCTTTTTTAATTACATAGGACTCATATGCGTGTGCAGTTGTTGCAGTACTCGGGATTGAACCCACCTAGGGTCTTCACACTGAGCTACAGCCCCAACCTCAACCCTTTTGTAGAGTTCTAATTGCTCAAGACAGACTCAGATCTGTGGTTCTCTTGCTTCCACCTCCCAGAGTGCTAGGATTACAGGGGTGTGACACAGTAGCACAACAGATGTAGCTTTGATGGCACTGGAGATGAACAAGGGCCTTGGGTATGCTAGGCAAAGTCTAACACTATACTCTCAGCTTTTATGACGACTTTTTCATCTTGGCTTTTAAATACCATTACACACTAAAGAAAACCTGAGTTACTGGGCAAAATGGCTGATTCCTGGGATAAGACAGGGAATGTATAATGAGCTTTGTGTACACTGGGTCAGAGAAGAAATTGCTCAGATATTGATGGGGACACACAAGCACACAAACATCACCTAGAATGGCTTACCCTATAGAATACACTGATAAACTTACATTAACTCTGATAATTAAGTCCCCCAAAATATTGTGTTTTTTCTTTAATTTTTTCCAGCAGTACAACTTCCTTGTATGAACTAGTATACTGACAGAAGTACACAATTTCTATTTAGAAGAGTTTATTGAATGTCATTCTTG